TTCTTGATTTTCACTCGCTTAGGCGAAGGAGTACATGTAAATTAGCTAATCCTCATAGATAAACAAAAATAGTAGCAAAACTAGGAGCTATTAAACAACAATCCAAAATTTAATAATGAGAAATTTCACCTTGGGGATTATTCACTCGACTACACTAGGCTTGGCGAGAGAAGATTTTGCAACTAGAATTGAGATCACCATTAGGAAGAAGATGCCGGAAGTCTTTGTCCACGGGAAAGTAGTAGGAGTCGGTGGGGTTGGCGGATGTCCGGTGATGATCCAACGACTTGGTGGAAGATGGATCTCATGATCCGCCATTCAACATTGAAGTGGAGAGGGGAGGCGTCGTCTTCTCCTTTCCTTGGCTTCTCTACTCAAAGAACGAGAGAGAGGTGGTCGGCGGAATTTCCCTAAGGAAAGGGTACGGCCGGCGGTTGCAAGGGAGGAGGAGCTTGGCTTGGAAGAGAATAGAGGTTTAGTCAAGGAGCAAGAGGATTTAGCCCAACCTGAAATTAATTTCAGGTTTAAGTGGATTTGGAGGGAAATCCCAATTGAAATTAACTTCAAATTTCAAATGGATTAATGGAGGAATTAATGGGCATTTAGGGGGGGCAATTAAGGGTGTATTACGTGGATGCATAGGTGGCAAGTAGAGAGAGAACCATGCATGAAGGGGCCGGCCAAGCATGAAGGAAAAAGAGGGATTTGATTAAATAGTGGGCCCCACGGTTTTAATTAAAATCTGAGCTTTAATTTCAGATTTTAATTAATTAGGAAGTTTCAAATGAGAGGGGAAAGGAAATTTGAATTTGAATTGGCCATTAATCCTCATTCAATTATTCACTAATTTGAGGAGTCAAATTAGGAAGGTAATAAGAGGAAATTGTTGGCTGAATTCAAACTTTCCTGGGCTGGAATCGGCGGGATCAGCCAAGGGGGGAAGTTTCGGCCTGGCTGAGAAGGGAGGCGGCTGGCTAGGCTGGGCGGGGGCTGGTTCAGCCGGCGGCAAGGGCGGGGCGGCTCCTGGGTGGACGGGTGGAGGGGGGGTTTTGATGGGGAAGGCTGCAGGGAGGGGAGGCGGGTTAGGCTGAGCCGTTGGTTGGCTCAGCCGGCGGCAGGGAGGGGAAAGGTCTCTGTGCCGGCGGGATTTGGGGGATTTGGACAGAAATGGTTGCAGGGAGCTGGTGGGGAAGAAGAGAATAACAAAAAAATAAAAAAGTAAGGCCAAGAGTTCACCACGGGAACTGTTGGGTATTTCGGGTGGAGCCTCTCCTAGGTCTCCATTCTCTCTCTCGAGCTCTCAAGCAAGAAAAGAAGAACAAACATCTCAGAATTTTTATTAATCAAGCATCCTCTCATTACATAAGAAATGGTCATATATATAGGCCTTAAAATGACAACGGACACAAAAGACTAAAATGCCCCTTGGGCTATAATAGAGACCAAATACCCATAAGGGTAAAAATGGAAAAACTAAAATAAAATAAATTACTACATAACATGACAAAAATAAATAAAACTCCTGATCGTGGCCGTCGATCTCCGGTGTCTCCGATGGCACACATGTCGAAATTGCTGACGATGTCCTCATCAATTAAAGATGATCAGGGTAGCAAAAATTAAATTCAAACAATTATGTCACCTTGATTTTAGTTGGCAAGCAGGCGTCATATGGAGCATGGCACAATTTACGATGTAAATGCTACAAGTATATTTATATGACTTAACCCCGGCATGAATCAAAGTGGGTTTATACAAGATTTATGTTATACACCAAGGGAGAGGAAGGCAAGCGGGAGAAGAATTAGGTGTTATAGAGAGGAGCAAAAGCAGAGGGATCGCACTATTGGATCATGATGCAAGCAAAAAATTAGGAAACCCCCTAATTTTTTGCAAGCAAAAACAAGACCAACAAAATATTCAAAAATAGACAAAATACATACTAAAGATAACTTTCACATTATAAGAGACTCTTACAAACTTTGACATAAAATTAAACACCTAAACTTGCATTCCATCCATCGAGAAGAAAGATACAGGTGGGGTGGGACACTTGCAGAGAGAAGAACGAGATAAAAAGTTCAAGACAAATAGAGGACAAGCTCGCAAGCTTTCCTAGAAAAGGAGAAGGAGAATGGAACAAGCTCGCAAGCTTTTCCAAAGAAGGAAGAAAAACCCTCAGGTTTTTAGATCCAAAAATACCATTATAACACATTTTTTTCATTACAAAACACCTTTTATTTATAGGGGAAAGAGGGCAACCAAACAGCCACCATAACCCCCATTTCAACCAATTAAAAGCAAGAAATAGAAGGCCAAACATTCAGTCCAGCACAGCACCCAAACAGTAACATAGAAACCCAAAAGGCAGCCAAGGGGATGAACCAAAATAGCAGCTAAAGGGAGCTAGAACAGCACCCGAAAAGGCCACAAAGAAAGCAGGGAAAAAGCAGCCATAGGATAACAGCCAGGGAAGAAACCAAAAAGGCAGCAACTGGGGAATCGGAATAACAACACAAGGAACCGGGAAAAGCAGCCAAAGGGAACTAGAACAACAGCCAAGGAATTCGGATCAGCAGTCAGGGAGAAGGAACCATACACCGGAAGGCAGCCAAGGGAAGGAAACCAAGGGACAAGGAAAGGAAAGAGGCAAGAAACCACTCCATTAATGAGCTATTAAGTGCAATTACTCTTCCAATTAATGAGCTAAAACATCAGCTCAAACATTTATGAGCTAGAACCAAAAAGTCTCCAAAGAACACAGCCCAAACCCAAATAGTCAAGGCCTAACCCGAGAGGCAACCAGCAGCCCAAAGACCAAAAGAACCTAGTTAGCAAGCTCACACAAAGCTTGCCTACATCAATTCTCCTCTGGTTGAAAGAACTCATCTCCAGATGAGGTTGCTTTTAAGTTTTTCCCTTGTGCAGCATATGCTAATTCCAACTCTTGAAATTGGGCCGCATACCTTCTTTGAATAATTTATTTTTCCGGAATAAATTGGGCTTGAAGCTGACTCTTTCTCTTCTCATATCTTTCAACGTACAAAATCATTTTCACCTGAAGTTTGTAGAGCTCATTATGGATTGGAGCTGTATGGCTTCCTTGTGACAGGACCCATTTGTTTGTTGGAACTTGGACATCAAGACACCTGGCTGATTTTTTTCATTTTTTAAAGAAGACCCAACAAAAACTTAAAGTCACTCAACACCAAGACTCAACCGACAATACAACGCATAAACCTAGGATTTGCTAACTTGCTCTGATACCAAATTGATGCAAGCAAAAAATTAGGAAAACCCCTAATTTTTTGCAAGCAAAAACAAGACCAACAAAATATTCAAAAATAGACAAAATACATACTAAAGATCAACTTTCATATTATAAGAGACTCTTACAAACTTTGACATAAAATTAAACAAATAAACTTGCATTCCATCCATTGAGAAGAAAGATACAGGTGGGGTGGACACTTGCGGAGAGAAAAACGAGATAAGAAGTTCAAGACGAAGAGAGGACAAGATCGCAAGCTTTCATAGAAGAGGAGAAGGAGAATAGAACAAGCTCGCAAGCTTTTCCAAAGAAGGAAGAAAAACCCTCAGGTTTTTAGATCCAAAAAGATCATTATAACACACTTTTTTAATTACAAAACACCTTTTATTTATAGGGGAACGAAGGCAGCCAAACAGCCACCATAACCCCCATTTAAACCAATTAAAAGCATTAAATAGAAGGCCAAACATTCAGTCCAGCACAACACCCAAACAGTCAAATAGAAACCCAAAAAGGCAGTCAAGGAGGAACCAAAACAGCAGCCAAAGGGAGCTAGAACAGCACCCGAAAAGGCCACACAGAAAACAGGGAAAAAGCAGTCACGGGACAGCAGCCAGGGAAGAAACCGAAAAGGCAGTAGCTAGGGAATCGGAACAGCAGCACAAGGAACAGGGAAAAACAGCCAAAGGGAACTGGAACAACAGCCAGGGAATTCGGATCAGTAGCCGGGGAGAAGGAACCATACACGGGAAGGCAGCCAAGGGGAGGAAACCAAGGGGACACAGGGAAAGGAAAGAGGCAAGAAACCACGCCATTAATGAGCTATCAAGTGCAATTACTCTTCCAATTAATGAGCTAAAACATCAGCTCAAACATTTATGAGCTAGAACCAAGAAGTCTCCAAAGAACACAGCCCAAACCCAAGTAGCCAAAGCCTAACCCGAGAGGCAACCAGCAGCCCAAAGATCAAAAGAACCCAATTAGCTAGCTCACCCAAAGCTTGCCTACATCAGATCATGCAAAAGAGGATGTCACATAAGTGCTGGAAAACCAAAATAGAGAGCGAGTGGAAGCAGAGACCAAGAGCAAGAGAGAGTGGGGGAGATAAGCATTGGAAGCAAATTGTAAAAGAAAAAATGCACAAGTTGGTGACTGGGCTCGAGCAAGAGGAGAGTCACAAGATGAGGATTTTAGGGTGTAGAAATAATGTCAGGTAGAGATTGGGCATGATAGGGAAAGTAAGCCACGAGAGATGCAAGCATGTCATGGGTGATATGCAAGTATCATGCAAATCTTAGGTGTGGAGTTCAGATCTTTTTTCTTTATGTAATCCGTGTGTATTTTTTAATTAAATAAAAAATACCAATCAATCACAAAAACTTCATCCAGGATTAGACGTCACAGAAATAGAAAGCTAATCTGTAAAATAAGTTAGTAAACCCGCATAGATGTCCACTGCCCAAACAAGATCAAAAATGATAAAATATTAGCTAAGGCATGTTTAAGAAAACACATTACTTAGTGTGGTTGAACAAACAGTGAAACTAAATAAACAATTATGCTGGGATAATGATGCATCTAATAATCATATTCCTAGAAAAAAGAAGCAAGAAAATTGAAAGTGGGGCATATGGGATTAACACATTGTCACCATTCAAATAGTTACGTATTTTGAAAACAACTAAAATTGAATCGCTTAAAGAAACCTGGGCAAGTTGGGTGACAATACCTTTACCCAGTATCGATTGCTCAAGCACTTGCTGCTATCCGCCTGCATAAAATGCAATAAACAAAGTAGAGATCAGCACGTCTCAAACATTTAAGGTAGCTTATTATGGCCATTGCAAGCTAAAAATGAATTTTAAGTTGCAAACTAAAGTAGAATACATATTTGAATCAGAAAGATAAAAGAATTAAATACGAAATAATTTCAATAGCAATTTTCAGATACAAATCATTATAAGTTTGCTCCAATGAATTTTGGTTCAGCCTATCAAATTTTTTCCATCATTTATCAGAATAAGTTTTTCTCTGAGACAATTTCCAAGTAGTTTCCAAAATCAACATGTTACCTCGTTGTGGACACAACAGAGGATAAGCAACACAAGTCACGCACAAAAGATGACAAAGAGCTCTATATACTGAAAGCTAGAAGATATGAGCTCAAGATTAATCAAACATTTCTCACTATCACACAGTACCGCACTTCAGCTACACACATCTCTAGAACAAATCGCTGATATAGTAGCTTTCTATCAAACTTTTTTTTTCTAGGCTCTCACCAAACACAAACACTGCAGTTGCCAAGTCCCAAGTCTTAGATAAGAAAAGTTGAGGGTTCCATTAAGTAGTCGACAATCAGCATAAAACTTATCGAATAATCATGACATGAATCATTTCATACATTGTTAATGATAGAGCATTCCCTAGAAGCAATGAGGCATGTGATTTGAATATATCAAGAAGTGTGCAAGGGTCGATGCACTGGCGCCCGATTGCAGTGTTAAATAAGCAAGAGTTCTCATGTTATGGATGGATGTGAGCAAAAAAGCTAGTCCATGAAACTAAACAGGTTGGAAAGAAAGTTAAGGAGATCAAAGTTTAAGATTTAAACTATGGTATTCATGTATGAGTCATACTAAAAATGAAGTATGTATGATTATAGATAATAGTTTGAATGATAATGTTATAGAAATTAATAAAATTGGAGATAGAATTATAATTTTAAATATTGTTATTAATGCTAAGATTATTAATATTATAGGTGCTTATACTCCTCAAGTAGGTTAAAAATGTGTTCAAAATTAAAATTTTAGAATGGCTTAAAAAAATTAATACTAAAAATACAATATGAAAAAAGAATTTTTATTGGAAGTGATTTAAATGAACATATTGGTAGAGAGGTAGAAGATTGTAAAAGCATTCTGATATGCCAGAAGAGCCCACCTTGTGGGGTCCATGGGGAGTTAATATTCACTATGTGAGGAGAAATCAAGGGAGAAATAATTAGGAAAGTTTATTTAGAGATAAAAGGCTGATTGAATATAGATTGGGGAGGAAGTTAGGAAAAGTTTATTTAAGAAAAGTGGGCTGATTTGAATTCATATTTGGTAAGAAGGTTTTATTTAGGGAAAGAGGGCTGTTTTGAATTCAAATTTTAGAGAGAACTAGGAATAATTTATTAAGCGAAAGATGACTGATTTGAATTCAAATTTCGGAGGAAAATATGATGGTTTATTTAAGGATAATTAGGTTGTTTTACTATCATTATGTGATTTATGTTTGTTGTAGCTTTCTTAGAAGTTGTTCCTAGCGATATCTAGGATTTGTGGGAGAGCTAATCTATCTCTCGAATAGTAGGTCACTAGTATTTTTCACTATTGCTGAAGTATTAATCAAAATCAGCCCCTATCTTCAAATTTCTAGTTTTCTACTTGTTATCTTGTTGTTTTTACTTCCAAAACACATCAAATCGGTATCAAAACGAGGCTTTTTGGAGACAATGGTAGCAAATGAGGATGATCTATGATGCACTCATGCACCGACACTTCTCCTCAAAGAGGCATGTAGTGCCCGACACGACACGCAATCGACACACCTCCGATACATGTCGGACAAACAAAAAATATATCTGATTAAAAAATATTAAATATATATTAGACATATGTGTCTAACACGCTTGTCTTAAATATTTTATGAAGAAAATGACCAAAATGGTCCATCAACTCTTTATGAGGGACCAAAATAATCCTCAACTCTTTTGAGGGACCAATTCAGTCCCTTAACTCTTTAAATTGAGACATTTTTATCCTAACATTTAATGTTGGTGCTAATGGTCCTAAATGTAAGGGCATTTTAATCATTTTTCAATTAAACATTTATTAAATGTACTTTTCAAGTAATTAAATTTTTATTAAATGCTTCTTTGATAAAAAAATTAATAATAATTTTAGTTTTAATTTAATTAAAAAATAATTTATTATTATTTTAAGTAATTAAAAAAATTTAATATTAAGAGAAATTAAGAATTATTTATTATTTAGGGATTATGATACTAAGAATGTCTTATATATATAGTCAAACTAATGACATCAGAATAAGAAGTAGAGCGAATTATCAAAACATCTAGATTCGGGGTGAATACTCATATTTTTAACTTATAGTAATGATATTATTTTCTTCTAAACTACATGCAAAGAAGGATATCGATACATGCATAATTAGTAGTTATTGTCATTGAAATTATAATTTATCCTTCACATGTTTAATGATTAGTCATCTTGAAATGAATGATAGCTAGCATGTTATGTTTCAAATTATCATATGCAGTTATTGAATAAAATAATTAGATATAAATAATTGCATGTGTGTGTAGACTGATAGACAATGTTGCACCGATACAACTATTTATTAAGGCGTGTTGTATTTGATACACGGAAACGCCTCTGATACGGCACCGATATGTGTTGGAAATTAAAATACTATTTAATTTCAAAAGGACACGTGTATCCAATAGGCGTGTTTGTTGAAAAACAAAAAAAAAAATCTGAAAAAGACGCATCATATTTACTTCCGCGTCTGCGAGCGAGATTCTCTCATTTCCGAGATGGATTTTGATATTATAAGCTACAAGGCTACAAATTATGTTACTTTTTTTTTTTTTCAAATATTATGCTTTGATAGCTTTCTTAATTTTTATGTATGATTTATAAATTATAATGTTGTGTCCGTGTTGTACCAGTATCCTGTATTTTTAAGAATTGACGTGTTCCGTATCGTGTCGTATCCAAATCGGTGCAACGTAGCTGATAGAGTACACGCTCTTATGATATTAGATGGCGATGCAATATACATGTGCGCGTTAATTGGAAAATATTTCGAAAAAGAAAATGAAAATAGAAATACATTGATTGGTACTATTTAGATTGTCTCTTGTGCTGATTGTATTAATTACGAAAAATGATAATATATGATATGAGTATTATGTATACATAACTTACAAAATTAATTTTAATATAATTATTTTAATTTATGTATGAAAGAAAACATGTATATATTATTCTTCAATCTTATTATGTTACAACAATATATAAACATAATGTGCTCACTCACCCCTATAATTGAACAAACGTGTATAGATATCATCCAAAGAAATTTAAATGAGTGAAAGTGGAGAAAATGTGTACCATAAAGGCGACGCTCCCCAAGAGAGAGAGAGAGAGAGAGAGAGAGAGAGAGAGTGTGTGTGTGTGTGTGATGTATTTATTTGAAACAGATTTGATATTTTTTTAAAATACATTTGTAGTTTTAATGGCTCTTTCAATATATATTAGAAATAGTTTATTTATAGCAATGATAGTGAACAAAAAGTTTAAATAATCGTACAACTATCTGCTCCCGTCTCGTTAATTCGAACCTCCTAGATCTTGATATTCATCATATTCATTCATGATAGGCACTTCATGTAAAAAGTAAGTTTTCTTTCCTAATAGGTTTCAAAATGATTTTAAAGATGCCTTGAGACCTACAACTTATCTGCTAAGTTCATGATTTATTTTTTATATAACATGATAAAAAGGCCTGAACACTGAAATTTTTAAATAAATTACTTACAGTTCAGCAAAGAGAAATTTATTCAAATGTATAAACATTATACTTTGGGACTTAATGGTGAGAGATGCAAGCATTCCAGACAGCCTTCTATCAAGCAGGGGAAATCTTGAATAAATCCTAAGAAGGACATCATCCAAGTGTAAGGTAAACATCCTAAATAAGAAGAAAAACACAGGACATTTGTTGCAAATTAAAGAAGCAGCAGAAAGGATGAAAATATCACATTTCCAGGATAGTTTATATTCTGCCAGAAAGCTTGCAAAACCTAGCCAGCTATCCAATCAAAGAACATAGAAATGAAAGGTATCGCACCCATTTAATTGCCTAAATCAGGAACATTTTCATGTAACATTTATTTCGAAAAAGTAAAAAGACAAAATGACATTTGCTAGTTTTGCATACCTTACCAACAAGCACCAGGGGTATCAGAAAAGTTGGTACCGCTGAAACCAATCCCAGAAGTAGATATTCTAGTTCGGTGAAGCTCTGTCATCAGAATTGATTCCCATCACAATGAAAGCTTAATGCAGCACAAATAAATTGAAAATGCTATGTTCAAAGAGTTCAGCCTGTCTATTACCATACAGAAACTTTTTCTGCTGAAAAAAATGGAATTTTAAAATCTCATACAAAATTAAACAAGGCATTTAAAAATACAAAGTTTAATAATTTGCAGTTCCCACACAGAATAATAATAACCCCCATGACAAGCATTCAAACTATCATACCTTGAAATAAAGATAAATAAAATATAAGAAACTAAAGACAATCTATGAAAACAAATCTCGAAATCTGAAGTTTACATCTGAAAAAGATGAACAACTATAAAACAAACAATAAATACCATAGGATTGTTGGGCTGCAAGTAGGATTTAACTCAAGTGTGATCTAGTAAATTCTCACAGTTAAATCCTCATAAATTGTTTTAGCATGATAGATGTTAAATCTATTTAATCCTATCAAACTATTCGGCTATTTATTTCAAGATTAAAGATTTAATTTAATATAAGATTTAAAATAAGAAAAGAGCTGGAAAAAGGAGCTAGCATTACTTTCACCAATTTAAGGTAGTGGAAGTTCACTTATCTTTGCTAAAAAGCAGAACCAAACAAAATTTTCACCTACTGAAAATCCAATTATATCTATAATCATTGTAATTTTTTGCATGCAGTTGTAATTTATTGGCTTCAATTATTTAAATTTCCCAAGAAAGAGAGATAAAGAGGAAAATAAATTACAATTATTTTTTCTTGAATCAATCTAATCAAGCACAATTTAATAATATAGTTTAAGGCTCCGTTTAGGACGACTTTCTTAATGTTTTCTAAAACTAATTTGTAGTACAAAAATTTTAGTTGAAGAAAATATTCAGCTAAAAAACTGTTTTAAAAATAATAAAAAAATCATCCCAAAAAATGTCTAAATCATTAGATATATTCAAAACATAAAGTAGCAAAAATAAATTTAATGTGACTAGATATCTTTTAAAATAAATTTATTGATAATCTTCATAGAATAAAACTTTGAAATCACAACAATTGCTTCGTTTTCCCTTTCGCTCCTCTCTCGCCCCCAAATGTAGACCGCTTGTGGCAGATATTTATGTCTTATAAACTCTAAGAGCCATGTTATTTGTATTCTTAATTTTGATCTTACAATGACTCTTGGCTATGATAATGAGATGGCAAATTGAATTATTTTAATGTATTCTAATATTCAAGGTGAGACATCAAATAGAACTATTTTAATTTAGACCTCTCAATAAATTTTTTTGCTCCGCCACTGACTGTAATTCACATGATCATGCTTAGAACTGTTTTGTTAATAACTAGTTTTATTTTCAATTTTATTGGAAACAAAATATAGTTCCAAAAAAGTATAAATCTTCTTATAATGAGTAGCTTAAAAAATTTGTGTTACTTAGCTTCTAAAAATACCAATCCTCTATGATCTATGAGGAGAGATCTCTCCTAAGTCTCCCAATGCACTAGCCAAAACCGATCCATACGCTATCGACTCTCTAATGCCCTCCATTCCTCGCTCTCTGACCTACCGTCCACTAATGTTCCACCGCTGCATCACCGTCTTCGGATCCTGGCGCTGGCATCGTAGCGGATGCGGGAGCTCCGGTGTAGTCTTCGAGCGTGGCGCCAGTGTCGGCGGCACCTGGATCCCGAACGACTTGGCCTCGACTCCAATCGGAAGGTCGTTCACTCCATCCTCTACGACTGTCTTCGCACCAATCTCCCAAGGGAATGCATGGGCTTTTCAGACTACGCTTTTGTCACCGTCACCGGAAACAGTGATGACGATGTCCGTCGCTTACCCCGACATCATGCGGTCCTCCGCTAACTTTAGTAAATCCACCGACTACTGGGATTTAGTAAATCCAAGACTGCGCATTAAATGTAAGGTAAAGGAATTTTTTGTTTTTTAAGCTCTCCATTAACTGTTTTACAAAATTAGTCAAACCACATTTAAATAATCTGTTCAAGTTGATTATAAAAAACCCTCATAGCATCACATCGAAAACAAGCGACAGTGGACCACTGGACCGGGGGAGATAAGAGGAAGAACAGACCTCGTAAAGCTTGTAAGGGACGACGATTCCAAGACAAAGTGTGAGCCAGAATGGAGTGTAGAACAGAAAGAAGAGTTCCCCCCATCTCTTGCTTGGATTCGGGGCCAGCCATAGGCTTCCAGATTCAGTCCCTCTCGCTCCTCCCACTCGTCCGCTTTCTCTCCTCCCTATCACATCAAATCCTGCATCAATAAACGGTCGAAAACCTACTAAACAAAACCCAGAGGCGGTAGCCATCTCAACCAACTAACAGAGAAAGAGAGAGCTAAGGAAAGAAACCCAGAAGATGCCCCATATCTACCAACTGAGAGAGAGAGAGAGAGAGAGAGAGAGATGGTCGTCATTTCTCACCCCCCATCCCGGCAAAATAGAAATGGCTCCGCTGAATGTGCAAACAGATAATCTATGGGCGCTCGTAGGGCGATCGGATCGAGCTCAGCCGCCGTCTAGGCTTTATAAGGGTGGCGGTGTTTCAGTTCTGGTCACTCGCGAGTGAAGCAGTGACGGTTTGGGCCTCACGAACGAAGTAAAGCATTGATGAATAGCTTTGTATTTTCCTTTTAATGGCCGTGATGCCACTGATTCTTTTCAACAGCTTACTATTTATTTTAAATAAAATTCATTTATATTTATTAGATATATAATTGAATAAATTTAAATAAAATATTTAAAATTGATCTATATAAGTAAATAAGTTTGAGCATCCCATTGTTTATTTATGAACATGTTTATTTATTACTTAATAGTTGATTACTTTTTTTTATAAAAATAGTTATTTAATAATAATTTATTTTTTATTTTAATGACTAATTTTATGCTTTTCTATTACTTTTTTTATCTTATATATTGTAAAAAATGAATATATTATTTGAGATATAAGTGTTATTAAAATATAAAATAAATGTTTAAATGCATATAATATAATTTTTTAATTATATTTGAATTAGGCCTAATAAAAACTTAAAAATTATCTTATAAATTATATAAGAAGGTTGAGTGATGGTCCGGCGATGGCGATCAGGTGATGTTGGAATGTGACAATAAAATGATTGTGTGATGGTGGTGGTTCGAAGATGGTGCTTATAGCAGAGCTTTATGTTTTTCAAAATTTTGATTTCTCTTAAATCTCAAGTAAAGGTTCAAGCTTTCTTTCAAGTGTTAGCTTCGTATAAATAAGCCTCTTGATTTATTCATTTTTTAAGAGTACATCATAAAAATAGCCATATTTTGAAATATTTAATCGAATGGCCCATATAAAATCGCATAAACATATGTTGTTATTTCAATGTTATTTATTAAAATTTGAATGTTGAAGTTATATTCAATGTTAAAAACATTGGCATATAGATTATAAAACTTGATTAATTTTAGTGAGAATGAAATTCATTTAGAATTCATTTAGTACAACTTTGTTGTTGCTTTATTTTTTATACCGCATACTAGTTTATATTTCACCACTACTTTTTCACTATTTTCAAGAAATATTCGTATTATGAAGATATTTTTTTGTAACATCACTAAAAATTTTACTTTTTCAAGCGGTCCCAAATGAATCATCACTTTAAAGATGATTTAATATAAATTTATCATATGTATGATTATACGTATTCAACTAAGAGAGATGGCACATGTCACATATTCGATTGGGGCACCCATCAATTACCACTCACCAGTTCCTGTCGCCTGATCTTTGACCCTACTGATAATATACCTCTTCATTTCATTGTTCTATTTGCTCCAGAGTGAAATGTACTAGGCCTCCCTGTTCTCTATCTACAACTACCACTTCCAAATGTTTACAATAATTCATACTGATATTTAGGGTCCGTCCCCTATTCTATCAATGCAACATTATCGATATTACATGTTATTTGTCAATGATTATATGTGTTACTATTGGGTTTATTGTTTACAGGCTAAATCTGAAACATATTTTAAATTTCTGCAATTTAAATATCTCATTAAACGATAATTTCCAACACCCATCAAAATTCTACACTCAGATGACGGTGGTGAATATGTCAATAATCTTTGTCAAATAGCTCTACTTAATTGTAGCATTGTGCATCAAATTATATACCCCTAAACCCCCAACAAAATGGGGTTGTTGAGTGCAAGCAAAAGCATTTACTCAAAACTTTGCATGTGTTACTCTTTCACGGTCATATTCCTCCTTAAATTTGGGTTGATGCACTATTTATTGATGCTTTCTTGATCAATCACATGCCATCCAAACACAGCCACAATAAATTCCCTTATGAATGCATGTATCACACTGCCACTACATATTCGCATATCTACACTTTTGGCTGCTTGTGCAACCCGTGGCTCCCCACCAAACTCAGTTACAAACTTGTTCCACACACTGATCCATGTGTTTTTCTTGGGCATGCAACTAATGCCAAAGGCTATAAATGCTTTAATATCTCAACTGGTCGATTTTATATCTCTATGCATGTCACATTTCATGAATCAACCTTTCCTTTTCAAACCACAACATATGTTCCTACGATTTCTACCACGTCTTCACATGTTCCTTCCTTTGTTTTAGTTCTAATTGGCTCCATTACTCTCCCTCATTCAACTCCTTCTACCACTTCAATAAACCTACCCATCCCTCCCTACTACTAATCCCACCTTCAGTTCCTCTGTCTCAGTTAATTTATTGTCTCACTCAATGTCTAGATCACACAGCTCTTCACCTGTACTTGAAACTTAATCCCCACCTACCAAATCTCGTAACCACACATCACATGATCACCATATCCAAAATCGAGCACCTCAAACCTATCACTGTTTTTTATTTGCATCACACTACTGTACCGCTTAATCCTACAACTTATTCTCAAGATGTTAAGTACTTGGTATGGAGAGACACAACGAGTGTTGGGTTTGAAGCCTTCTAAAAGAAAGGCACTTAGATTCTGGTCCTACTGTCCCCACATCATAATGTGTTAGGAAGAAAATGACTCTTTAAAACAAAATTCAATTTGGATGGATATATTGCTTGACACAAAGCCCGCTTAGTTGCACAAGGTTTTAAACAAGAGTATAATCTTTTCTTTCATTATATATTTAGTATGGTGGACAAGTTTTTAACAATTAACATCTTTCTCACCATTGTAATTACCTATAAATGACATATTCCACAACTAGATATTTCCAATGCCTTTTGCATGAAAATATTGATGAGAAGGTCTACATGAAATAACATGCTGGTTTTGTTGATTCGCAATATATGCATTATGCGTGTTTGCTTCTTAAAGATCTTTATGGTCTAAAACAAGCGTCAAGACAATATTTCTCTACTTTCTCTTCATATCTTATTGAATATGAATTTCTTGCAAGTTTGGCTGACCCCTCTCTACTTGTGTGTCATCATGGTTCAGTCCACCTTTACATTCTTATATATGTTGATGACATATTGCTCACTAGCTCTGATAACAGTGCCACTCAGAAACTGCTTTCAGCACTTCATGTACGCTTTAACATTGCATGACCTAGGCAAGGTCAATTACTTTATTGGCTTGCAAGTTCAACATTATACATCTTGTCCTCATCTCAGCAAGTCCAAGTATGTTGCTAATATACTTCAACGAGCTAAAAATGTTTGATTGCAAACTAATCCCGACTTTATTGCCTTCCAAACATTCACCTCTCTCCACTAAAGCAATTCCATATAAGCAATCGAAGTTCTGTCGTATCGTAGTTGGATCCTTACATATCACACAATTACCCGGCCATACATCATGTTTCCAGTCAATTACTTGTGCCAACACATGCATGATCCGGAGCTAATTTATTTTCAATTACTCAAAAGAGTACCTCACTATATTAAAGGCACTCTACAATTTGGCTTATCAATCTCTTAGTCATCACTTTTCCTCCAATCATTTTTAGTTTCTTATTTGTCACACCCCACTTTGGCTCACCCTCTACCACAAACTGAAGTATAACATAGAAATATTTCAACATATCAAACTCCACTCTTAACAACAAATATTTTTGAGAGCCTTATATTATTGGGCTGCCAACTTTCTTAATTGTCGTTCCATAATTGACTATTATGAATTCCTTGGTGACACACTAATTTCCTAGTGTGTCAAGAAAAAAATCGTTGTAGCATGATTCTTTACAGAGGTTGAGTACATGGCCCTTACCACCATTGCATGTGACATTATGTGGTTTCGATTTCTGCTACAAGATTTTGGCATCTCTTCTCCTTCCACACAACTATTCTCTGACAATATTTCAGCTCTTGCCTTGGCTAATAACTCCAAATTTTATGCTCGAATAAAGCATATTGAAATAAATTGTAATTTTATTTGGGATTGCATTAAAAGAGATCAAATTTATGTTCATCACATAGCCTCTCAAGAAGATCTAGCTAATGTTTTTACCAAGCCCCTCAGCTCACTTTGCTTCAATCAATTATGCAACAAGTTAATAATTCAACTCATTGTCAACTTCAAAGGGGTCGATAAGAGCATCTGATAAGAATCTCTCCTATAAAAATGTTGGCTACTTAATCCATGTGACATACTCCAACCTTCTATGCTACAACAGTGAAATTCATTCTCATGCATTGGATTACTGCTACCTTGATCACCAGCACTCATACATAACTAACTTGATTCTAGGAATATTTGCTCTTAGTTGTACATAGATAGTAATCATTCTTTTATTATATAATATACAAGCATCAATGAAACCACTAAATTAATTTTTGCATCTACTATCTATTTTTCGATTTTGCTGTATCCGTCTTTCACACAAGTTTTCATCATTTTGAGATGGAGGACATGTCATCTTATAATCAAATCCAATAGCTTTTTTTTAAAATGAAATCAAATTTAGTAAAAATCTCAAATTTTACCTTTTATCATAAAAATATTATCTTTGTTGATGATCCATATAGTTATGTTTTCTACTATTTATGCTGTTCAAGATCTTAATTCTCCCACTGTTTGCACTATTTGAACAATGAATTGCTGCAATGATTGGGGTTGATGAGTTATTGCTATGATTTAGATGGGTCGAACTTTTATTAATTAGGCTTTGATTTATAAGCTGTTGTGTGGGGCATTGAAGTGGGCTCTTATGAATTGCATTAATGGGCTTTTAATGTCACTATATTGTTACTTGTACGGCTATGTAGATTACTATCTTCAAATGGGCCTTCTTATTTGGACCTCAACTACCTGCACGGCTTTCAATGGATGGTTCACGGGATTACCGCTTAACGGGTTTATTCCCATTTCACGTGTTACCTATTTGCTAATACCCGTCTTTGATTCATCACGGGTTGGATCTATCTTCTGCGAGAACTTTTTATAAAAAAAAAATACATAAATACAATAATCCAATTTTGATTATTTTCAATATATATTATATCGCTTTCGTGCTCTTTCTATTGGTCTGCAAGAGAACCAAATATTCGACGAGTTATTCGTTGTTCGGTTCGATTAAAACTCGTTCGTGATCGTTTAATTAACTAAACAAACAAACTTGAACAATATTTTAAATACTCGATTCTTAAATAAACAAGCTTTAACATTAATGCGTTAGGCTCATTTATGTTCACGAACAACATCATTTGAAGTTCGTGAACAAGCTTGACATTAAGCTCGATTCGTGTTCGATTTTGAACTACTTGTGAATAACCTTGATAAAAATAATTAATATTTGATTATAGAATTAATAAATATAAATAATATAAATAGAGCTCGACATTAAGTTCGCGAACATGCTCGATGTAATCATTTGTTAGGAAGCTCGATAAAGCTCGTTTGTTAAGTTAATGAACATCTAAAAGTAGAGTTCGTTTATAACTCGTTCATGTTTGTTTGTTTAAAGCTCGATAAGCACTAAACGAACGAACATGAACACTCATTAATTTAAATGAATCAAACATGAACACAAACAATAAAGCTCGAACAAACATGAACCAAACTTGAACAGCCTGATATTAAATGAGCACAACCATGAACACTCACATACTCGGCTCAGCTCGGTTCGTTTGCAGCCCTATCTTTCTATGAGGACTTTTTTATAAAAAATACAAAAATATATATTACTTGCCATGACTCCCAAATAATCTTTGATATATTTATAATATGACAATTTTATATCATTATTGACTTATTTTAATTTGACCATAACAAAATAAATCAAGTGATAAGGAAATCATGCAAATCTTGAGGATGGGGCATCCAGGCATAAAAGGTGGTGGAACTAATAACGAGAAAAAAACATCTAATTTATTCATCGAAACAATAATACGTCAACAACCGTCCGATCACCATCACGAGAAATTATTATATCCGGTCAAAAATCGAACGGTCCGAATGTATACCGAGCAATACCAAATTCAAAATATTGAGTTTTAGATGACATGGCGCGTGGTTATTAGTCTCTGAACACATTCAGATACCGCATGTAATAATTGCTCCACCGTCACAACAAATCAAATGATTGTTCGCATTAATTGTTGTAGTTGCTTAGGTGAGAAGCATTTAAAGAACAACTTGTCCACTAATATTTTTTATAAACATATAATATATTAGAAGGAAGAAAAGGGATTGTAAACATACCGTTTAAATTTTGATTCTTCACAAAATCAATATTCTATTATTTCTAATTTTAAATTACCAACTAAATCTTAAAATTTCTAATAATATTAACTCATGTTTTTCATTTGTTTAAATTTATAATAATTTGACTCACATGCACATTATAATGGTTTAAAAAGTTAAGATAGTTATTAAATTTATAAATAAATAAAATTTGAGATGTATTTGCCAAAAAATTATTTGCTAGCTATATGAGAAATAAACATATTAAAGAAAAAAAAAAAGATTGTATCTAATTTATTTATTTTAACATAATATCACAATGCATTAATAAAACTTTTGTTATAAATGAAATAATTTTAGAGTTATGGATTAATTTGGTTTGATCTAAAATTCTAACTTTAGTTAGATCGGTTCTCCTAAGTGAATCAAAACTAAAAAAAATATAAAATACATTTAATGATTAAAATTAATTTGATTTATTATATATTAAATTCGAACATATGTTGATTGCGAATAAGGGTGTCAATATTTGACACGACCCGAAACCCGACTCGAACCTGGCCCAAAAAATTCGGGTTAGGGTCCACCCGAACCCAAAACGAGTCGGGTTCAAGTTCAATATTTTGACCCGTTTCAAAAATCGGGTCCGATTGGGGTTGAGCCTTTGACCCGAAATTGACCAAATTTTGACCCGAAAATCCTAGATTGACCTGTTTTTGACCTGAAAAGAGAAGATTGACACGTTTTTGGTCCCGAAAACTAGCAATTTTTTTGTTGAAAACGAGTCATTCAGATCGTGTAGGGTTGACCCGGACTCGATGCGGGTCGGGTTCGGGTCCGAAAAACTGACCCGTTTTAAAAAAAATGGGTCGGGTTCAGGTTGACCAGAATAGTGCCAAGCCAGTTTCAGGTTCGACCTAAACTGTGACCCGAAATTGACACCCCTAATTACGAACCTAATTTGAAAATCTAACATTAAATAACTAAATTTAAATACAAATATATATAAAAAAATGAATCAAGCTCAAAACAAATTTGAACAAACTAATAATAAATAAGCTGAAAATTGAGCATAAATCTGCTCAACTAAGGTCACTTGCAACCCTAATTATAGCAATCCCACATATGAAAATATATTTAGGGTTTGTTTGGTTGAAAGAAAAGTGAATGCATTGCATTCCTAATATACAAGTTTTGAACTTTTGGGTGTGTTTGATTGGATGAAAAGCAAATCAAAGGTAAAGTAAATACAATGGCTCATTTTTTAGGTAAATTGGGCGAGAATGCTTTACAACGCTCGCTCCTTGCTTGAATGCCACCGTCTCCATCGGCCTCTGCCGCTGCCTTGGCCGTCAAATACCTCTACTGCCGGTAACAGACCATCGCCAACCACTGTAGATCATCGCTGCTGCCAACCACTGCCGATTGCAGACCACATCCACTGACCATCGCCAGCTAGTTCGGTCGCCGCCTAATTCACTGCTATTGATCGCCGCCCACCTCCTTCCATCCACTTCCCTTCAATTTTACATTGCATTCACTTTAACTAAAATCAAACAAAATAAAATAAAATAATGTATTCTTTTTACACTCATTCAAATAACTCCAAATTATTTTCTTTATATTTTACACTATATTATTTTTTTAGACAATCAAACCACATATTATACATATAAGATATAACATATTTAGTATTATATTTAATCATTTGAAAGTAAAAAATCAAATCAAGAAAAAAAAAATCAGTAACCGTATCAATAACAGTTTTATTCAATAAAATAATCACAAATAATAATAGTTATATTACACGGAATATAGTAAGTTTTTTAAGGAAAACTACTCATTATCGTCGTACCACGGGGGCGCGCTCACCGGTCGCTCGGCCCTCCTTACCTCAGAATCGATCTCTCAGGCTGGAATAGACGGAGGAGATGATATTGCATTGTCATGCTAGAGTGGTTCCTGTCTCGATTGATCTCTGTCGAAGAACTAACAAGTAGGTCTGGAATCTGGATCGATGGAATGGATGCTTATAGTTCCGGTTCTGCGTAGGCATTGACGAGACATGTTTCGCCAACTTATTTCTCAAGTTAATTGCGCCGAGCTGACGCAAGGCTGTTTGATTTGTTTTTAATGTTTTTCAAGCTTCATTTTACTTTTCTCTTGATGTAACTTTCGGTTTTTTGGATCTCGTTTTCTTCATTTTCTTGATTGTTTGCTGGGGGGAGCTTTTCTTTTTCCCTGTTCTTCATAATGCATTTATTTACGAGGAAAGATATCGCGCTTGGATCGTTCTGGATCGTTTTGATGTTGAAATTATATTAGATCAGTCCGCTCTTCTTCGATGTTTTTTGGACGATTTCTTTTTTATTTTTAGGTTGGCAGTTATTATAAAAAAGATTGTCTTTATCGTTATTTTCTTCAATCTTTTTTAATTTATTGGGATATGTGATTCAGCCAATATGTTATTATTATATTTTGTTTTGAAATAATAATAGTTTTAAACGTGTTTCTTTTATCAGAGGAGTAGATTTGGTTGAGGGGAGCCATGGATGCTGCTGAGGCAGAGGAGAATCTCTTCGCTTTTAGCGATGCAAAGGTATTGACACAAATACTTTCTCAGAAAAAGCTTGATGGGGGGACTCTTTACTGGTTGCTGCTTTTTTTTTTGGGACATTTAGGCCATTTAAGGCAAACTCACACACACAACGCATACACAAAGACTCGAACCCAAGACCTCTTAGTTGGAAGCATAAGCTCTCAACCAACAGGCCAAGGTGAGCTGTGTAAGGTTGCTGCTTTTACTCCTATGTTGGATGAAAACAAATATGTAAATATATCATAGACGGCTTTTGAGTAAGAATAGATGTTAAGGTTTTTTTGGATATTATGTATGATACTAATCTCAACATAAATTTAAAAAATTTGAAGCCCATTCTGACATAAAATGCCTTAGGATATCTTTATATTATTTTTCCCCCATTGGAGAGCTTGTTATTGTTATACATTTATACTTGTTAGAATAATCTAATTAATACATTTATACTTATATTAGGATGAGCTTGAAAATTATTTGTTTTGTCTTGAGATTAGTGTAATTCAAACTCAGTTGTATGCAACGCTAATTTTGAAGTAAATCTAATAATTTTAAAGGCCATCCTGATACAAGTTGTATCAATAAATTGATACAATTTTTTTGGTTGACATAGACCAAGAAGATATAATAAGATCACATAATCATATAAATCATTAAAGTATTAAAAAATTGCCAAATAATTTATCATGATTTAAGTGAATGTAATACCTTTCATGCCAAACCGTTTTCAGATTTAAACTTAATAAGAATTTTGAAGCGAGGATTTACTAATCCTACTTGCAAGCAAACAGCCTCCAACAATGTTTCTTGCTCAGAGTTTTATTATTTATCTTTTACAATTCATCTTCTGTCCCTTTCTCTGGCTCTCTCTCCCTTTCTTGTTGAATCCTTTTCTACTTAGAACTTTATGCTTAAATCTCCTAAATTCTGAACTTAAATGGAAGTTTTTGGTTGCAAAAACCTTTCATGTTTTTCATTTTTCAGTGCTTTTCACAACTTTTCTGGAGCTAGACCTACTTATTTATTGAACTGTGTCCAAATGCAGTTGCATGGTGACATGTGTAGACAGCTTTCTGCAATTCTTTATAAAATTTTGGCGATCTTCCCCGTCCTGGAAGAGGCTAGACCCAGAAGTAAGTCTGGAATACAGGCACTATGTTCCTTGCATGTTAACCTTGACAAGTCAAAGAACCTCCTTCAGCATTGCTCGGAGTGCAGCAAGTTGTATTTGGTGAGTTTTCTTTTATGTTGATTCTGAATAGCCATATACTCTTATTATTTTGCAAACCTTCATGTCATCTTTAATAGAATGACTATTGTTCCTTTGGTTGTGGTTCGGAAACTTCTTTATCTATTAGCTGATATCTCAAATACTACTTTTTTTATTATCAGGCTATAACAGGAGATTCCATCCTCATGAAATTTGAGAAGGCAAGATGTGCTCTCCAGGAAAGTCTTACGAATGTGCAGGACATAGTTCCTCAAGCCATAGGTTATCAGGTAGCCTCCAACGTTAAATTAAGGATATAAGTGCTGTGCTGCTTTTTCCTCTTTTCCAAATGACCTTCCTACGTTATTGTCATGTAGCTTTTATTGCTTCCTATGGCATTTTATTCCGCCAGTGCAATTTATCTTGCATATTGGATACTTTCCTTTTGTCCGTTTGCTTCCACTTTGAAATGGCGATGAATTTATTTTTGAAGTGTTTTGTGTTGTCCTGTTCTCCGTTAAGCTTTCATAAAGTTAATGTGAATTTGAAGCCTCTATGCAGTACATTTTCAAAGTTGTGATGTTCAAATTGTTGACGTTGCGAATTTAAATTTATCATTTTCAATTTTTTTAGTTGCATATTTGTTCACTAGTCACTATCATTATGTTCTTTTTAAGTCTTTCTTTTATTGAAAAATTCGGTATCCTCCTACGTCTCCCCCACGTTAGGGGCGCATAAGGAGATGTTGAGCCTTCCCATCATGCTTAAAAAAAAATATTTATGATCTTTGTTGTGAGACAATACGGTCAAAATTTCTTCTAGCCTATTGGGCTTAACAAAGTGCGCATAGGTCTCACCACTTGCATGAGAGAATGTACAAAATTTTCCCAATATGTTAGAACAATATGCATAGATACTAAATTTTGAAGTTTCATGTTATACCCTGAGCGAGCGGCGACGAAGATGAAGTGAGATGGAAAATTTGTGGCTAGTTGGAAAAAGAAAAATCTCTCTTTTTTTGCTTCTTTTTCTTTTGAGAGTTTTAGTGTGGTTTTTTTAAAAAAGGGAAGGAACATGTGTGTGTGGGAGAGAATAAGAGAGTGAGAGAGGGAGTGAAGTAAAGAGAGAAAGAGAGTGAGAGAGACAGAGTTGGAGAGAGAGAGAGAGCGTGCTAGAGGGATTATGGGGAGAGATAAATCTTAGAGAGGGAAATAGAGAGGTTTTTACAGAGAGTGAAAGAGAGTAAGAGAAAGCAAGAGAGATAAAGAGGAAAAGGAAATTAGTGGTCGGTATAGTTGACGGCCTAGTCAACTATGGGGTGGCCTGCCTTGCCAAGCCCTCTATGCAGCCATTCCCCTATCGACTGATATAGTTGATCCTTTTAATGTAACACTACTTTTATTGGGCCATGTTGATGCAACTAACATATATTTAACGTAATTGATTCATGACTTGTAGTTACATAGCATGATGAAGTTGACTTTTTCTTGGTGTAGCCAACCTCCAATGGTGTGGTCTTCCCTTATTAAGGAATAAAACCTTGAATATGATTATACTTAATTGTGATGGAATTCATTCCTTCTCGTGTCTCTAATGTCTTGAATTAAAAAGCATGTCTTTTCCTCATATACGTCTCCAACTCTCCATCCATCTCCTTACATAACTTATGAAGGCACCGTTGTCATCCATCCAAAATTCAAGATTTTGGATTTCCTTTAGATTTATGTGGTATATATACTCTTGGTCAAATTGCTTCTGTCACTATCTCAAGTTTTGCCACATTCATGCCATGACTTTTCACCACATTAATGTATGGGAAATTAATTTTAGCAAGAAAAAGCAACTTGATGCACATTAATGTAGAAGTTAATAGAAAAGTAAGCCTGTAGTTGTTGATCTCACTAATGTCCATATTATTGTCACAGATCAAGAACTCCAATTTTGCTTCTACGTTAGATCCTCTCCATGCTCTTATTGCTTTGATTGTAGTTGGTAGTTTGTCTTCAATCTCCATTCAACTTTCATCTTCTTTTTCTTCCCCTTCATGCTCTTTGATACACACTCTTTTGCCATAGTGATCCTCGTAGGGGTGTTACTGCTAGAGTGTATGATTTGGCGAATGGAATATATTCCATAATTGCTTTAAGCAGTGCGGGAAGATCTTTGAGTTGTGCATAAAGATTCTGAAGCCAAGGTTATATATTCCTCTTAGTTCGGATGTTGTGTTTCTTCAGCTTCAACAATAACAATCACCGTTTTTTCTCTGCAGTCCGAACTTTTTCATTTGTTTGTTGTTACTTCAAATCTTACAATACGAATTAGCGCGCTATGGTTTATTCAAAAGGTCAAAATGCTGGTTTTGAGACGAAGCTTGCTGAGGGTTCAAGCTGTGGCATAGTTTTGATTATAAGTGAAGCAAGAAAATGTTTTGAGTTTTGAGGAGAAAATTGGGTAGAGATTTAGGCTTCTTTTAAAGTACCTGTTGAGCTATATTTGAAAGAGAAAAGTGTCTTGTGGATGCTATATCTATGGGAGAATTTTGCTGTAGATCATGGCCGTTAGGAAGCTGGAGTTATGGCGAGTTCTTTTTAGCGCTCTTGAGTGATACAAGCTCTTCTTATTTTTACTTTTTATGAGAGACTTAAAAAGGGACTTGTTATGCACTCCAAATTCTTACCAGCTATGACCTATGAGGTATAAATCTTCCTCATTGGATTTGGCATGTAGGGATACTCTTCCCTACCAGTCAAACCTTGAAAACCTTGGAAAGAATCCCCTATTCTTTATCCACCTTACATTATTTTATTATTTTGTCTCTTACACAAGTCACAATTGTGAGTATTAGCTAGTTTAGTTGATAAATATTTTGAAAGTTATTATTAGGGTCCCAAATTTGAATCTTACCTACATCAAATTTGTGTTTTGACATTCACCTTTCCTAGAAAAATAATTCCATGCAAACATGCAAGTCCCCACCAAGAAGAGAGCTGCACAGTCAAGTCAGTCCTTATACTTATCTATGCTTTGTTTTGAATGACCCTTCAAGACTCCTGAATTTTGAATTTAGGACAAGACTTCTACTTACGTTTGGCTGGTTTAGTGCATGGGATTAATTAAAGATATTTTTTAAGCAGGCTGGTTTGAGTTTCTTACAAAATCACCCATCAAAGATGATCCATGCAACAGTGAAAATAAAAAATAGCATGTCGGTAGACCTCAAGTTAATATGGCATGAGATATCATAATATATATAAAAAATTATCAACTAAGCTTTCCTTTTCCCTGGGATGGAGAAGAATGGAGACAATCAACATATTAGACATTTCTCTAATGGGTAAATTAGTGGTTCCTTATCACTAAAAGTCTGAATTTTCATATTGTCTAGTGGGCCAATTCTTCCTGTCTTGGTTAGCTACACAGGGATGCTGACTTTTATTCTTAGATGATTCCCTTTTTAGCAGTTCAAACTTAAATTGGTCTCGGGAGTTATAGCCTAGGCTGCCCTTGTTTATGTTCTCTTTATTTGCTAAAAGAAAAGTGTACGCCCTCTTTTTGGTTGATTTTTTATTTCTCATTTTCTTATTTCTCGCAAGTTGAAATGTTTCTAATTGAAATTTTATTGTGCTTGCATTATATGTGGCGATATGTTATGTGCATTATGGAACTCTTTCTTGCTTTTACCATTATGGAATCAGATAATGGAGATAGTTGGTGAACTGGAAAGAACTGTGTTTATATTGGATCACGTAGAGAAGAAAGCAGGTGAAGAAGTGCTCTCATTGCTTCAGAAGAAGAATTCCGATGGTGGTTCAGGTGATAGTGTTGGAATCGAAGTCTTCCATCAAGCTGTGTTGAAGCTTGGAATTACTTCTTCGAGAGCTGCTCTTTCTGAGAGAAGAGCGCTCAATAAATTGATTGAAAGGGCTCGTGCAGAGGAAGACAAGCGGAAGGAATCAGTCGTGGCATACCTGTTACATCTAACTAGAAAATACTCCAAACTTTTCAGAAATGACACACCGGATGATTCAGACTCTCAAGGATCAAATCCTTGTTCTCCTACTGTCCCAGGCTCTTCTGATGATTTTGGAAGGCAATTATCAAGGCAGGCTTCTTTTAGTTCCAAGCCACGATCAGAAGAAATACCGACACCCCCTGAGGAGTTCAGATGTCCAATCTCCTTACAGATCATGCATGAACCAGTCATTATTTCCTCTGGACAAACCTATGAGCGTGTTTGCATTGAGAAATGGTTCAAAGATGGGCATAATACGTGCCCAAAGACCCAACAGAAGCTTACACATTTTTCTTTAACTCCAAACTTTTGTGTAAAAGGTCTGATTGCTAGTTGGTGTCAGCAAAATGGATTTCTAGTGCCTGATGGTCCTCCAGCATCTCTTGATATAAAGTCCTGGAGGCCATCCTTGCCTGCGCGTAGTGCTTCTGATTCCAGTTCCATAGCAAGCCTCAAATCTTGCGATGAGGCTGCCAAGAGGAGTACCTCGGAGGAGAGTGTTGGCTTCACTGAGGAACATATTCCAGATGATCCCAGCAATACAAATACTAGCGATGCTACAGGGAGCAAAGAACAAGAATTTGAAAGATATGAGAGCTTGCTTGAGATTTTGCGTGATAGTAAGAGTAGAACGAAGCAACACAAAGCTATGGAAGAGATTAGGTTTTTGCTGAAGGATGATGGAGAGGCAAGGATATACATGGGTGCAAATAGGTTTGTTGAAGCACTAGTACAGTTTCTGAAGTCAGCCACTGATGAGGGAGATGAGAAAGCTCAGGAGGTTGGCGCATTAGCTCTTTTCAATTTGGCTGTCAATAATAGCAGGTACGTTGACATTTAATCAAAAATTTTGGCACAATCCTTGTGAATTTTTTTTTAAAGAACTAGGAATATAATGTTCTTTTGCACTGCTTGGTGGGTGTTGCATCACTCACAAAACTTTTGCTGCCTCTGCTATTGGCAAATTATTGTGTCTGGTGTCCGGATTCGTCCGGACACCAATAAAAACACGCCACATCACTCAAAAATACCGGGGCCCAGTGCATCCGGGTGAGGTGGTGTGTCCAGATTGGATGTCCGCATGTCAGGTGACCGGACGCAATAATTTGCCTTGCGTGAGAATTTCATTTGCGTTGATGCATGTTTACATGTAATTAGGAGTGTCAATATTTGGCATGATCCAAAAATCCGATTCGAATCCGACTCAAAAATTTCGGGTTAGGGTCAATCCGGACCTGAAATAGGTCAGGTTCAGGTTCAACAATTCTATCGGTTTCAAAAATCGGGTCGGGTTTGGGTTAACCCTTTGACCTGAAATTGACCTATTTTGACCCGAAAACCCATTTTGATTCAGAAACCCGAGATTGACCTGTTTTAGACCCATTTTGACCCGAAAAGTGGAGTTTGAGCCTTTTTTTGACCTGAAAACTAGCAATTTTTTTTATCCCGGGTTGTGTCAGGTTGACCCGGACCTGAAGCAGGTCGGGTTCTGGTCCGAAAAACTAACCCGTTTGCAAAAAAAATGGGTCAAGTTCGGGTTGACCCGAATAGTGCCGGGTCAATTTTGAGTTTGACCTGAACCCAACCCGTGACCCGTGATATAATTAAACTGTTCAGGCATCTCAATTGGTTTTTCCAGGAAATGATTGGCTATCCATGCATCTTAGGGATCTTGCAGTGCATTGTATATATATGAGTTATGCTAGAAAAAAAAATTCAATTCATACGCCTGCCCGAAATTGCAATCTTTGACTGCATCGCCCTGCCCTAAACTGCCATGTTACATAACTGTAGATATTATTGCATAAATCTAAATGGAACAAGTACCCCTGTTAACGGCCACATAGACTGATCACTTACACTAAAAGTCACAGTTTTTCTTTCACCTAATGCCCCTCACTTACTGTTTCTTTTAAGTGCTGTCTTCTAGGAATAAAGACATAATTCTCTCCGCTGGTGTGATTCCATTGTTAGAGAAGATGATATCAAATCCCACGACATGTGAGTCAGCTACTGCGCTATACCTCAACCTCTCTTGTCTTGATCGAGCGAAGCCCATTATTGCTTCAAGCCAAGCTGTCCCCATCCTTCTCCAGCTTCTATCTCCAGAGTCCTCCCATAGCACATCTTGCAAGCACGACGCTCTTTTTTGTCTGTTCAACCTCTCCTCTCACGCTCCTACTGTAAATCATCTCATCAGTGCTGGCATCATCGATGGCCTCCACTTCCTCCTCTCCAACAATGGAAAACCTACAGGTAGCCCCTGGTCCGAGAAGGCTCTTGCTATCCTCGCCAGCATTGCTTCGTGTCAGTCAGCTATGAATGAGATGGTCGCAACGCCAGGGCTGATCAGTTCGATAGCAACAGCGCTGAATATAGGTCAGCCACCGGTGCAAGAGCAGGCCGTGTCGTGCCTTCTGATTCTCTGCGCTGGAGATGAGAGTTCTTGTTGCACAGTTTTGCAAGAAGGGGTAATTCCAGCTCTCGTATCAGTTTCAGCAAATGGGACGCAGAGGGGAAAGGAGAAAGCAAGGAAGCTCCTGAAGCTCTTTAGGGAGCAGCGACAGCGAGAAGCTTCACCTTCCAGAGAGTGTGTTGAAGCCAGGACTATTGGAGTTATTGAGACGACACAGGAGCCTAAGCCTTTGGCTAAATCAAGGTCTGCAAGGATTGTAAGGAGTGTGAGTTCATTTTGGAAGGCAAAGCACCGATGGTAGACTAATGATGGTTGTAAAGGTTTTTTTTTTTTTTTTTTTTTTTTTTTTTTTAACCTTTTTTTTTTGCGCTTTTTTGAAATCTCTCTTCTTTCCCTCTCTTTTTTATATTTCTTTTTTCCCTTTTTTGACTTCTTCTCTTTCTTTTTTTGTCTCCAAGAACAGTAGTCATATTTATAGCTTCACGTTCTGAAACTTTATCAGTTCAAAGTTTATGATATTAAACCTCATGAACGTGTCGTTGAACTGGAAGGCCTAAAGCCTGATGTTCCAGTTTAAACTTCATTATGTGAATCATTTTTTTTTTTATATTGATGATAGAGTCCATGAATCATGAAGTTGAATTTAATACAATTGATTGATTGGTATCATAAATAATTCTGAATAATCATTGTTTCTGGTTGTATAATTATTCTGTGCGGACGCCGAATGTCGTTTGGAGATCAATCAGAATGCATCACATCACCCCTTCGCTCGGTACCGTTGGCGTGATGCATTCTAATTGGTCTCCAGAAGACGTTCTAGGCCCGGTCTCCGCATAAAATAATTTCTCTTGTCTCACACTCTCTTTTGAATGTTTACCCAATTGCTCCTTTAGAAAACAAATTCGATTGATTTTTTATGCTGAATTGGCTGTGTGAATTGAAACATGGTTTTATTAGACTAAGCGTTGGATCCCCTAACCGTTTTGTCCAATTATTTTTTATAATTAACCGATTTCATAGAATGCAGAATCATTCTTATGATTTCTACTTCACGCAGAATCATTCTTATGATTTCTACTTCGAATGAATCAACAACAGGCTTTTGAGTTCCAGTTCCTTATGTATAATATCACTACACAATTCTCAAAGATTATCTTGGTATTTGTCTTAAATTATTGTTAATGGGGATACTGTGGCTGAGCTTGCAGATTGCAGGAATCTACAGGAAAGGACTCAGCTCCTTGCGGGTCCAATGGACCAACCTTTTGTTACGAATAAGTTTAATATAAAAAAAAGGAAAGAAATACCAAACCCAAGGCCTGAACTCACCCATCAAGCGAGCTGCCTCAGCACCCGACCCAGCTGAACTCGCCACCGCAGGCAACTATCATGCTCTTTGTCGCCTCTGCTCGTTGTTTAAGAATATTGGTTGCCAGGGCATATGTATTTTCTTCTCGGGCAAGGGAGAGATTATTCTGTGCAGACACCGGGTCAATCAGAGGCGAATCAGACCGCGCCACGTCACCCAGTACACAACAAAAGGGCGATGTGGCTCGCTTTGATTTGACTTCGGATGGCATCCGGTGTCCGCACAGAATAATCCGTCTCATTTCTTCTTTTCAACTGCAGTCCTCTGAAAGCAGCACTCACTGGTTGAGTTCATCATCATCAACTGTTGGAGAATTTTTGAATAACCTCATGACCTGATAACGAGCTTATATTTTCCCCTTGAGAAAATAGAGTGGACATGATCCACCTAACACTGGATTTGGGCTATCTTTGGTACCTACTGTTGCATTTGTGCCCTCATCCCCACTACAATCTCAGCACCATCACCGAAAACCAATAAAATACTAGGAAAAAAAAATTTCTAACAAACAATAATGTAAGTTGAAAATTGAGTACTGATGAAATATCCCAAACTGTTTTATTAAAACTAAGCAAAACGTGCTCTTTCAAATTGCAAGAATTTCATCTTGTTACATTTGGTTAGTCCAAATCAAACCGGGTGCTGATGAAATATCCCAAACTGTTTTATTAAAACTAAGCAAAACGTGCTCTTTCAAATTGCAAGAATTTCATCTTGTTACATTTGGTTAGTCCAAATCAAACCGGGTTTCATTGCTGTTAAGAAAATATAAAGTCTGATGTACAAGATTATTAGACAAGTAATGATGATGATATCTACTCTTAATATTGTTGATTCAACACAGCATATTTTGATTAGTTAGTTGAGAGTTTTTTTATCAACTAAGTCTGAATTTTGAGTCTCGCATGTATGATTTGTGTGAGTTTGACTTAGGCCTCGTTTGGAACGACTTTTTTCTTTCTTCTGAAAAAGATTTTTTAGTACAAAAATTAAAATTTTTATAGTAGAAAGCTGCTTTAAAAGAAGCAAGAAAGTCGCCCCAAACGAAGCCTTAATTGACCTAAATGTAAAAAAAAAAATGCTGATTTAGCAATTCTACAACTCATCCTTGAACAGCTAATCACTAATCAATAAAGTTCTGGATTGTGAGTCTATGACAGACTTGCAATGCAAAGCCTTGACTGAAAGACCAGTTATAACGCAAATCAATCAAAGGTCAGATTTGGCTAAATTCCAAAATTACATCATACATTTAAAGATAGCAGACCTAATTTCATTATACAAACTTACAGAGTTCGCTCGGATTTGATGCTCCAGGAACTGTGACAAGACGAACTATAATAGAACAGGTGACCCTTTTAAAAGTTAAGGGACCATGAAACATTTATTGGAGAAGAGAATCTGAAGGTTCCTAAACTAACGAGTCCTCATCATTGCTTACACATGTGCAACTTGTTTGCTCTTGCTTAAGAATCTGCGGAGAGAAAACAAATAATTTTGTCAGATAAAGGAGACAGAATCTTCCTTCAGTTTGTTATTGAATGACCAGGTTTCTTTGATATAACTTCTGGCAGGGATTGGATTTCAATACCAATTTAAGCTCTAGTGCTTATTTGAGTTACTATTTTAAAAACAGACCTTAAAGATGAGAAATGAGTTGCAATCATTCTTTGCCCCCTTATCCCAATTATTTGGGACAAGTTTTATGAAAGCAAAATTTCTATTTTCTTTGAGTGTTATATGAGATTCTAAACATATTCTACGTTAATACTTTTTCATAATTATTATCCCTATTATCTTTGATCTGCCACTCTTCCTTTCTAGCCCACTATTGTTGTGTAAATTCAATTATCTTAAATTTATTTTTCATTATCTTATGCTTCATAGATGCTAATATCTTCTCTTTGCTATAATCAATCCTAATCATTGGCCATCAATGACTTATTTATTGCCAACACTTAGATCGATACAAACAAGTCAATATCAATAACAACAACAACATCAAGCCTTTGTCCCACTACGTTGGGTCGGCTACATGAATCCTTTTTCGCCATTGTGTCATATTAAAAGTCAAACTCTCATTTAAATCCAATAAAGAAAGATCATTTCAAATATTTTCTAACCAAATTTTTTTAGGTCTACCTTCACCTTTTTTAACATAAGTCAAATCTAAAACCTCAACTTTCCTAACCGGGTCATCGAAAAGCCTCCGTTTAATGTGACCAAACCATCTAAAGCGACTCTCTCTAATCTTATCTTCCACTGGAGGTACTCCAAACTTTTCACGTATATGCTCATTTCGTATCCTATCTCTAAGGGTAAAGCCACTCATCCATTAAGCATCCTCATCTCTGCAACACTTGACTTAGTATTATGTTTTTCTTTTAATGGCCAACATTCGACATCATAAAGCATTGCAGATCTCACCACCATCTTATAGAATTTTCCCTTAAGTTTGAGGGAAACTTTTTTCTATTGCACAACAAGCCCAATGCATTCATCCACTTCAACCATCCAACTTGAATTCTGCTGATAATATCTCCATCACTCTGAACAATAGATCCAAGATATCTAAAACGTGTACTCTTATTAATGACTTGATCTCCCAAAGTCACAATCCTCTCACTAGCTCTATTGCTACTAAAATTATACTCCATATATTCAGTTTTAGATCTACTCAAGAGAAAACCTTTGGACTCTAAGGTTGACCTCCATAATTTAAGTTTACCTTCAACTCCCTCTGTAGTCTTATCAACAAGAAGAATATCATCAACAAAAAGCATACACCAAGGTACATCCTCTTGCAAATGTCTAGTGAGAACATCCACGACTAAAACAAAAAGATATGGGCTTAAGGCTGATCCTTGATGTAATCAAACCGAAATAGGAAAATACTTAGTCAAATCACCTTGTGTTTAAGCACAAGCAATAACTCCTGCATATATATCTTTAATGATTTGAATATAAGTATTATTTACTCATTTCTTTTCAAGAACTCTCTATAGCACTTTTCTTGGAACTTTATCATATGCTCTAAATTAATAAATATCATATGAAGATCCTCATTCTTTCTATATTTCTCCATCAGACCTTTCAATAAATGTATGGCTTCCATAGTAGACCTATCCGGTATGAATCCAAATTGATTTTGAGAAACATTAGTATCACGCCGCAACCTACGCTCCAAAACTCGCTCCCATAGTTTTAAAGCATGACACATTAACTTAGTTCCTCTATAATTCACACAATACTGTGCATCACCTTTATTCTTAAAAATAGGAATTAACACGCTCATTCTCCACTCATCTGGCTTCTTTTTAGTCATCAAAACAATATTAAAAAGTTTAATAAGCTAAGAAATTACTTCGTCTCCTAAGCATTTTCACACCTCTATTGGAATATCATCAGACCCAACAGCTTTTCCACACTTCATTTTTTTTAAAGCCTCTCTAATTTCGATTTTACTAATACGCCGATAAAAATAAAAATCTTTATTTTCATTTAGGGTGCTAAGTTCACTAAAGTCAATCATATTTTTACAATCTTCATTAAAAGGTTTAGCAAAATATCTCATCCATTTTTGTTGAAGATCATCTTCTAAAAAAAGTATTTTTTGATATTCATTCTTAATACAATTCACTTAAACTAAATCCTTACTACTCCTATCTCTTTGTTTGACTAACTTATAAAATATTTTTCTCCCTCATTCGTATCTAATATATTATATAAATCATTAAAAGCTAAGATCTTTGCATCGAATATAGCTTTCTTAAATTCCTTACGTGCCTCTTTATAGTTTTCTCAATTATCAAAATTTTTACATCTAAACCAATTTTTATAACAAATATTATTATTTTTTATCTTTTTTTGCGCATTTGAATTCCACCACCAACTATTTTTACTATTAAGAGCTTTTCCCTTTGATACTCTAAGCACATCTTTTACAATATTCTTAATATCACTAGACTTTATTTCCCACATAACATTAATATCCTCATGCATAGACAAAATATTAAGTTCTAAAATCTTACTTTTAAAAATACTTTTATTAATATTCTTTAACATCTAATCATAGAATATTGTTTTACTTTATTTTTTATTTTCCGACCCTTTATCTTAAAGTCCAAACTAATAATCGATGTTGGGTACATAAATTTTCACTCGAAATAACTTTACAATCTTTGTAATTTAAACGATCTAATTTTCTTATAAGAAAATAATGTATTTGTGTTTTACTATATTCATTTTTATAAGTGGTATATATATATATATAATGCACACAAAATCAATTCACATGACGGGTAAAGATAAGCTTTCTTAAAATCAACCAAATCATATGAAATATCTTTAATATATACAATTCTTTTGTGTCAACATGGCCCATTTAACTCGAATATGACAATGGTTGCCGACTAATCCAAGAGAGTAGGACCAAAAATACTAGCATGCAAGGCTAAAAAAACATGAACAAAATATTAAATTCGATATAAAAAAGAAATTTAACAGGAGCGAGTGACTAAAATTTATGAGGCACAAGTATACATGCTATTATAAAATTAAATAATAATAATAATAATAATAAATCAATATTCTCCTTCACACACAATCGAGATCTCCTCCGACTAACCTTGTTCGCTCACGCAATACTTCCCCTCTACGCTCTTCTCACCTCAACCACTACTGCCAACAACAATATTAGCTCTCGCTCGTCATCCCCAAACATATGCATTATCGACAGCCTATGATGCACTGACACTTCTTCTCGAAGAGGTATGCAGTGTCCTACACTTATCGGACACGACACACGTCCGACAATTCTCCGACATGTATCATATATGCCGAAGACGTGTCCGATTTTAAAAATAAATTGGACACGTGTGTCTTAAATATTTTATGAAATTTGTTTAATATAATTTCTTTTATTTCAAAATTTTATTTATAAAAAAATAAAAATAAAAATTTCTATTTCCTCTCAACAGCCCCAAATCAATTTCCAACACTCAATACTCCATTTCCTGCACATTACCATCTTCATTTCCCTTTAACAGATCACGGTTAGGGATTCACAATACTGTCCGATGTCATTACAACATCAATGCCCGACGTCATCGTAACATCTACATGTTTAAAAATCATCTCAAAATCAACATCGATGCCTGAGTCATGACAGCATTGTCGTCTCCTCTCTCGATGCTTGAAACATGACATCGACGCCCGACTAACGACATCCTAAATATTAATCATTGTAAGCATAAATCTTAATTAAATCTTAACTAAAAAAAGTGAATCCAGTCATGATGTTCTTACTAATACAAGGTTCATAGAGTGCTTGATCTACTATCTTACGTACCCCTTCATTTGCAAATAAGTTATTTTATGACTTCTTAGGGCCTCCAGAATATACACTAGAGTCGGCCATTATTCCAAGCACATCTTCTTAAGCCTTAATATAATACAGGTTAAAGTTTCTTAAACATAATTTTGCTAGCAGAATTCTGTTATCATGCAAAAGAAAAATAACAGTAGGCTTCCTAACTTAAGCATATCACGCACAAAATATTTTCTCTATAAACTTAATTACAAATCTATACTTCTGAATTAACATAATGCACACGGCATTATTTCTACTTTCACGCCAGAACTCCAAAACTTGCATTATTACTGTTTCTAAAGAAAGAAAAGATGTAAAAAGATGCTCTTAAAAAAATGGACAGAGTGAGGCTTGGAGTGAGAAGTTAGTCATTGGCCTATTAAATTCAACAAGAAAATATACTTGATGTACCTGAATCTGGCTCTGCAGCCCTTTGATGTGTTGAACGGCCAAATCCAACATGTCAGCTGTGCTTGTTTGCTGAAACAATGAGCATATGAATTTTTAGGAACATTATACATTTAGACTTAACATTTTGTTGCAATATAGGGCTCAGCATGTAAAAATTGTTAATCAAGTTGAAATTTTGCAATCAAGGTTCTAATTAATAACTCTCATCCACTAGATTGAATTATACAATTGGCGACAAAAAAATGAGCAAAGATAGAAACTCCATTACTGAAATACAAGTGCAAATTGCCTCACCTATTATAAAAATTAATTTGGGAAATATAAGTAATAAGTATGAGAAAAATTGAATAAATAGTTCAAAATTTACCACTTTCTTTCTTTATACCTTATCCATGTTGGGCACAATTTCTTGCAACTTCCTCAATTTCTCACTAATTCTAGTTCTCCTCTCCTGAAGAAATGATGAAGCAATTAGACAAAAAACATATTTACAAATTTGCTAGGTGTTAAACAAGAAAAATAGCAGAATATAATGTAAAAAAATGATGAGAGAATGAGAGAGGAAAGGAGGGGGGAAGGGGGAGCAGCGGGAGAGTGAGAATACAATCAGGGGGGAAGCATCCTCGTAAATGAGAGAATATCTCAATAATGAATAGAGATCATTTTTGCTTGCAACCACAAAGAAGTATAGAAGAATGTCAACTTGATTGGATTTTGATGTAAGGTTCTGGAAATCATCCTAAAGGATGAGACATGGTGAAGACATCGACTAGTTCTCAAGAAGCAATACATTGAAAAGAGCAATCAAACAAGAAATCTCAACATGAATGAAATGGTAATCTTCTTAACATGCTTGGTATACTCATGATAGACATCATTTGGAGCAATGTAAATCACACAAAGATTATTACAATAAATAATAAATGAACCATCATGAAAAATGCTTATCTTAGTGGCCATCGGAGCCAAACTAACCCCCTAACATGTTCGCAGGAGAAGGATCTTTAGCAATAGAAGAGTAACCCTTTCTAGCTTAAGAAATTAAAGAGGAGCCCAAGAAGAAACAAAACCAAGTGAAGAAGAAACATAACGTAATGATGGATTATCAATCAATAAGATCATCAACACAATCAGCATTAGCATAGATAACAAGAATAGGTGAAGATCTGGTAGAGTAATGAAATTCATAAAGAATGGCACCTCACGCATGATGAAGAATGTTAAGAACAAAAGTAAAATGGGTACTGAGAGGTGTAGCAAGTAACTGATTGACACTATGCCCACATGTAATATCAGGATAAGTAATAATGATATTAATGAGATAAATCAATCCTCCAACCGGTTGTCAATCTAGAGGAAAATCTGACATAGTGGAGCATCAATAGAGCTGAGTCGCTGAGATAACTGAGGTTCGAGAGAAATGGAGGTAATATTTTAGCAGATGATGTCAACATGATTAGGAAGATCAGAGGTGTCAATTGTGAGATATAATAACCAGTGAATCTAAGGAGATTTCAAAACCAAGTAATGTAAGTGCTCTTGATCTTTCATCTCAAAGTGGCAGTGAAGGTCCCTATGATATCATCCTTATCATCATCACCAGTTGGTATCACTACAATAAGCAAAAAAAAAAAAAAAAGGATCAGGAGGACTATAGTGATAGCCAAGATTCTTAATAGTGATGTTGAACATTATAAACCATATTTGGGGAGTTAGTTTAAGTTCATAGGAAACTTGATGGACTCAATAAACCTTTGAGTGAAGATCAAGACTTGTTGATAGATGCATATACAACATTTTCAAGATCAATATGAAAGAAGACATTTGTGACATCCATTTCAAAATGAGGATATTGGTGTAAAGCAACAATAGCTATGAGAAAGCACACAAGTAAGATGAGCAACAAGAGTGAATCATCAAAATCAACACCATACTCCCATGTAAAGCCATGGCAACAAAGTGGGCTTTATGACATTCAAGATAACCACCACAACGACTTTTGACAGTATGGATTCATTTATGATCAACAGTTAACTTTCTTCCAGGTACATCAATTAAATAGCAAGTATAGGTTCATAGCATCAACTTCTTTCAGTATGTCTTGTTGCCAATGAAGATTAAAACACGTTTCAAGTAGGTAAAGGGTTCATAAAAAGTGGAGATAGTGGAGTAAATATGGTAGTTCCTTGAAGATGGATAGAGGACCACCTTTTGTAGAATGTGCATGTAGATCATCAAACAATAAGAATTCTAGGAATTGAATGAGATATTTCGATAAAAGATGTTGCAATACTTAGATAGTCAAAGAGAGATAGTTCTTTAGGTTCAATCGTCATTGCATTAGATGTTTCAACATTAAAAGTTGTATTAACAACAAAAGAAAATGGATAAAAAATGTGAGAGGTAAAATAGGGAGGAGAGATGGTGCAGGGATGAAGCTAAGATAGTGAAGAAAATGTAGTATTTCCCAAAAAAATGACATTATGAGAACTCAAAGATGCTATGATATAGGAACTCGACAATGATAGCCCTTATGTTTTCAATTGTATCCCAAGAAATGACAGAGATAAGTAGAACTTTGAAGTTTACTCCACTTGTGGGCTAGAAGAATAAAGTAAAACAAGGAAAAACTTCAAACATAAAATAATTAGGAACCTTTCCAAAATGGCGTTCATAATGAGGATAATAGGCAATAGTGTATAACAAATTTGATTAATTGTATATATGGATTTAAGAGTGGCTTTTCCCCAAAAAGCGTTTAGGATATACGAATAAAATGAACAAGGTTCGAATGATATTATGAACATAGTGACATGGTTTTGAAAACCGGACAGGACCGGCCGGTTCGACCGGTTCAACCGTGAACCGGTCCTAAGGCCGGTTCAGTCCTCTTAAGAAACCGGTCTAGCATCAAACCGGTTAAAACCGGTTTGAACCGCCAGTTGAACCGGCCAGGTTCTTAAGAACCGTCCGGTTCAATTATAATATATTTATATAATTTAATTTAATATAAAATATTTTTTTAAATATTAAATTAACTTAAATATGATATATAATTCCAATTTTTTTTTAATATTATATACATTATTAAATACAAAGGTATCATAACAACATGATTCCTTCACCCCATGAGGGCTCCTAACTAATGCATACAAGAAAATGTATATAAACAACAAAACATAAAGCTCCTAAGTGATGTGTAAACAAC